GCGGCCGAGTGGGAGGTTGCGGCGGCCTCTCCCGCAGCACCCTGGGAGTTGTAGTCCACGGAAGGCAACGGCCCAGGGGCAAGCCGGGAGTTGAAGTCCTCACTGCGAGGTCGGACGGGATCGCCCACCTCTCGTGGCTGTGAGCCTGCTGTCTTGCTTCGTGTTTTGCTTCCTTCCCTGCCTGCGTGTGCTGCTCCAATGTCATCTGGTCGGCGATTTTCGTTAGTGGTTCCTTTGCCTCGGTGTTTGCTGAAATGTGGGATCCCAAAACTCAGAGCGAGCTTAACCAATTCGTGGAGTAGAGAACGAGTCTGCCCCGCCCACCACAGGTATCTAAAGGGGGCGGGGTGGAGGTGGAGGCAGGTTAGGGGTAGGAAGAGCGCGGGATTTGATCTAGGGTGAGAATTTTATACAGACCTAGCGCGTGTTTGGGAAAAGGAGCGTTAACTCGTTTCCCCGTCTTTGCGCATTTAGGAGCCACCATCCTAGATCCCATCCTCACCATAAAATCTCCAGTGAACAAATATCCTAAATTGGCCTGTGCAGATTGCACAAGAGAACAAAAGAGCCGTGCACTTGCAATAACGTGTGTCTCTGATGGTGTGAATATGAAAACGCGCGGACTTCAGTGTCCTACCTGCCCAGCGGGGTGCGTCAAGTTCACAGACTCCGCACACGTCAGCATATCTCAAAGAATGCAAGAATGAAGCCGCAGTCCCCGCAAGCGCCGAGGAATCCTCAGTCACAAAAATCAGTCAATTTACTGGTCCCCCCCGTTTGCCTCCTAGAACTCTGGTGGAAGTGGCGCTCGAAGCAGTCGTTTTTGCTTATCGTGTGTATTCTTCATCTGTTCAGACAACAAGTGCTCATTGAGCGCCTCTTATTTGCCCGGCACTGTTCTGTATATTGGGAATACAGCGGGGAGGAAAACAGACAAAATTCCCTGTTCCCATTCTAGTGTGTGAGGGAGAGGAGAGAGAAGGCAATCAATTTTTAAAATACACCATTAAAATGCAAAGTACGTCATAACTGATAAGCCAACAATTATTTGGTGAAAAATTAAAATATGTAAGAAACGCATTTTACCATACATTTGAAATTATAGAATCATGAAATGATTACCTAACAAAGAAACTTGGGAAATCATTTGGATTCACCTTTAGGTAACTAAATGCCTAACCGTTCAGTATAAGTGACGTGTTTTTTTTTAATGTGTGTTTATTTTTCTTGTATATATTCCCAGTTTTATTGTGGAATATGAACAAAATAATGGAAAGAACAAAATAAAAATAATCCTTTCCATTATTGAAGATTAAAACCATTGAAGAGCTGGAAGAAATCTTAAGCATCACCTAATCCAGTGGCAACCGTATCTTACCCAACAACCCTTTTTTAAATAAATATTTTCATAATGTCCTCTTTATTAGCCTAGAATGAAATTCATAGCTAATATAACCTATCTACATATGTGATTTTGTTTTAAATCAAAATAATGCCCTACTTATAATATAAAAACTACAAAGAAAATACTAAAATTATTTATATTTCAATGTGTAAATAGTCAGGCATGGCTATTCTAGAAACTATAATCAAGTCATCATTTGCTAGCTCTTATAAATAAAATCTCTATAAATGTGAAAGCTACAAATATCAATTGACACAGATGTGTTTTGGACACCTCTGGTGGACAACACTAATCTGTCCTCAGTGTTCACTGGAGATGTATTTCTATAAATGTTCACTGTTAGAATTAAAACGAACAACAGACAACCTTGGGTTTATATGTAAAATAGGTTGCATTTTAAGTTCAGATTATTATAAACAGGTTTTTTGCCTATGGTGGGACATTTAAAAGTCATGAGGGATACAAAATAATTTTTCATTGTGAGGAATAATCTCACATTTTGTAGGAAGTCTAGCATACCTGGTCCCTGTACCCTAAAGGCCAGTAATACCTCCCAGAGTATCCAACACTAGGGGGCAATGCCACACTTATATTGAGAATCATTTCATTGATGGAAACTGATTGTATGGAAGTGGCAGTTCCTAAGTACCAACTAATTAGTGACAGGAGTCAATACCCTCTCAGGCCAGCGCTTCTTATACTACACTGTATTACCAGATTCTCATTTATCTTGTATACATGTGTGTATATGTGTAATTTCATATACACTTATCCATGTAACACTTAATTCCCATATAATTTAAAAATTTTAATTTAACTTATATTATGTAGCTTATCTAATGATTCCTCAGTGTAAGACATATTATCTATTCACTTAATAAATGTCTTTTACCTTTAGACATTGTGCTTGATGCTGCTGGTACAGCAAAACAGTGGTCAGCAAAACACAGTCCCTGTCCTTATAGGGCATAGTACCTAGTGCAGAAGGCAGGGATTAAATAATCATATGTATAAATAAATACAAGCATATAAGTGTAATTTCTTATATGTGATTACAGCTGGTACTAGGGAGTTGTTTACAAGATGTTACAAGAAAGTATAAGAAGGGGAACCTAATTTACATTGATGGGGGAGAAGAGGGTAGTCAGAGACCATCTTTACCAAGTTAAAAGTGGGAAATACGCAGGGTCATGAAGTGATAAATAAAACTTCACCAGAAAGCAAGTGTGGAATATGGTGAAGGAGAGGAGTGGCATAAGGTGAACTTAAAGAGAGGCAACGAGGTTTCAGATCTATGTATTGGCCAGCTGCCTCCCCCCGCCAAAAAAGATAAAGATAGTCAAGGGTCAGATTATCCAGGGGCTTATAGGCCGTGGTAGGAAATGTAGCTCTTATTCCATGGAAAAGGAAAGCCTGCCTCCCCCCGCCAAAAAAGATAAAGATAGTCAAGGGTCAGATTATCCAGGGGCTTATAGGCCATGGTAGGAAATGTAGCTCTTATTCCATGGAAAAGGAAAGCCTATGGAGGAAAGAGGTATGATCTAATTTACATTTTTTAAAGCATGCTGCAGGGTTGGCCAGTTAGATCAGTTGGTTGGAGCATGGTGTTATTAAAAAGCATGCTACTCAATGTCCATCCATGGGAAAATTATTAATTGAGTTTCAGTACTTCCATTCTCTGGAATATTACATGGCTATATAAAGAGAAAGAAAAAACACTTCATATTGACCTGGAGGAATACCCATAATGTATTATTAGGTAAAGAATAAGTAAATGAATTACACCATAATATATTGTATATAATGTAATTCATTTTTTAGAAACAAAAAAGAACCAAGGTAAAAATATACGAATACATTTCTGTATAATCACAGAAGAAAGAAAGGAAGCATCCATACACCTCAAATATTTAGTGTGTAGTTGGTTACCTGGGAGGATTGCAATTGAAAAGGAGTGGAGGGAGAACATAACTTCTTCTTTATAAATTGCCGCATTGATTTATTGTTAAGTGTATGAATTAGCTTTATACATTTTTAAAAATAGATCATTCTGCTGGGTGGAGAATGGACTGGAGAAAGGCAAGAATGAAAATGGAACAACTAATTAAGAGAATACATAAGTCATCCAGATGGTGGCTCTGATTGTGATGGCAGTAAAGATAGAAAGGAGGTGATGAATTTAAGATATATTTTTTGAGACTGAAAAAATAGGACTGGTGATGAACTGGATATGAAGGCATTCTCATGCACGACTCTGATTTTCTGATTTAAATGGCCTTGTGGATGGTAGCTTATTTGGTAAAAGGAGAATGGTGAATATTGAGATAGCATCTGTAGTAAATAGGAGGACAATTTCATCAGAAAAACAGCAGGGAAATAATGATTGCCCATTTGAGACTGGTAAATTTAAAAATCATGGCAATTGTATTTTGCCCAATGTAGTGATTTTTCTCCAATAATGTTCATCTGCTCGGGTTCTGCTGAAGAAATGACATACAGTTGGTTTTATCTAGACTGAAGAAGGAGAATGAAAATGAGAGAGTTAATGGGCAACCAGCATTATGGATTGATTCCCATTTTTTAAATTATTGTAAATTATTAATATATGGGGGCTGACCAGTTAGTTCAGTTGGTTAGAGCATGGTGCTGATAACACTAAGTTCCAGGGTTCAATCCCTGTACCAGCCAGCCACCACCACCAAAAGAAAAAGTTATTATTAATATATATGGATACTTTAAATAAATAAAATTTTCAAGTCATATTCTTTGGATAGTCTCAAATGTAGAACTATGAGGCCAAAGAAAATAACCCTTGTTATGACCATATTGCTTTAATATTAAGGAATACTAATACTACTTTATTTGTGGGTCTTTTTTTTTTTTCTAAAACCACATTCACTTTGGGTTTTATCATTATTTTATTTTATTTTTTAGTTCTAATCATTTAGTATTTGAGTGCTAAATATTGGTTCTGTGGTAGTAAGCAAAGCACTAAGCTCTCTCAAAGACCTTAGGGGTTAAAAGGGAAGACAGCTGACTGGTTAGCTCAGGTGGTTAGAACCTGGTGTTGATAACACCAAGGTCAAGGGTTCAGAACCCCATACTGGCCAGTTACCAAAAAAAAAAAAAAAAAAAAATGGGGAGACAAATGGATGACAAAATAATAAGCAAATTACTTACATTGTCAAAGTATTAGGGAAAAGCACAGTGGATAGAAAGAATATCAGGAAGGGATTTATTTTAGATTGAAGAGATGACTTAGATCTGAGATTTAAAGGATTAGAAGAGATTATCCATTTAAAGAATGTCCTGTGCCAAGACCCTGCTGCAGGAACAAGTTTATCATATTCCAGGAATGGAAAGTTTGCCAGTGAAGTTGGGGCATAGAATGTGATGGAGTTTGGATGTTTTGTCCTCCTGGAACTCATATGGAAATTTAATTCCCAGTGTG